AAGGAAATACGAAATCTAATTTATTCCGTCTGTATCCGAATTATCGCCTTGGATTACTATTTTCATATTAACACGTGAGTCGAAACATGAAAAACACCATGATAGTTGATGAAATCAGTGAGTTGAAAAAAGTGAATAGTATATTATGCCACAAACTGACCAAGCTGAATCAGAACTAAAGACCGAAAAATCGATCGAGTTACGGAAACCGATCATGCTCGAGAGGACAACCTGCTCCTGCGGTATGTTGTTGTCATCTAATGCATGGTAACACAGCTTGGATACTTGACAGATACGTCCTCGTGTGCGGTTCATCACCTTCTTTTCGGAATTGCTGTACCTGTTGCACGTCTAAAATCTTGCTTCTTGTTATCATTGCGATTTCTGCAGATCACTAACGTATTCCTTTCAGCTAATTTTATCTGGTTCTTCTTTTTTCACACTTCTGTTTTGTTGCAGGTTCTTCAATACTGAGTAAATAAATTATTTAATTAAAAACTTCCGAAATCTCTAAGTGATCATGCAAAATTGGAAGTAGAGTTCGTTAATTTGGCGAGCTGCGATCTGACTGGAATATTTACGAACATTTGAATATACTATGGAATATGGAATATTTCATACTAAGGCGAACCCAGTTTGTGCGCGGCCGGTAATAGGAAGCCAAATAAGTATACTGTTGGGTGAGTTCGTTTCAAGTAATCTTTAATGCACACAGACATGAGAATATGAAGCATGAAGGCGAAACAAAACAAAGCGAAATGGAGAAACCAAGTGAGCCAACTCCATATGATAAGACATCCCAAAGTGTTTATAGTGGGACAACAGAAGCTGGACATATAAATCAACATGCTTTAAGCGAAGAATTGACAAGTATGAAAGATGATCGCATTACTACCAGTACTATCGAAGGAGTTGGGAGGACTGGTTACGAACATATTGAGGAGTACATGGATAAGAATAAAGTACTCCATGAAGCTGAACACGGATTCAGGAAATACAGTTCCAGCCCATTTATTCTTCTCATAGTATGAGACAGCTTGACAATTTCTGGGACAGAAAAATGCCGGTGCACATAATATTTTTTGACTGTGCAGACGTCTTCAACACAATACCACGCGCACTACCGATTGCGAAGGTTGCGGGAATGGGCTTCATTGAACAACTCCTGTCTTGGCTCAGAAACTACTATCAGAACAAAAAGTTTTGCGCAAAGAACAATAGTATGAACGAGAAATGACGAGTTTCAGCATCGGGACTTACACAGAAGACAACCTTAGTTTCATTTCTCCTCCCGATATTCGTTAACGATATGCATTACAAACCCGGGGGGACGATGCAGAGATTTAGAGGTCCTTTAAGAGGGAAGAGGACTCAAGTGAGTCTCAAAAGTACCTAAAAGCTATTAAAGAATGGACGGTAAAAAGTGATTTTTAATTAAACTAGCTCAAAAGTCTCGTTACGTACATTCTGCCCCATATGACGCACACGACTTGCACCCTCAAAGGAAGTCCGTTTCCTAATATCTCCTCTCCAGTACGAACTATATAAAGAACGCTGCCACGACTAATACAACTCTTCAGTTTGTGCGAGTACAACTTGGTGCTATCACCCGAAAATTATTCTTATCGTTGTTTTAGTCATGTGCGCGCCCAACGCTTGAAGTTCATGGCGTCTTCGAATCCCCTCTCCTTAAAGAGACACCAATCTCTCAGACTGCAGAGATGAGCAATGAAATGAATGATTGGGTTGATGAATAAACTTCAACATTCGGGATTATTTCCCTGAGTTACAGGAGAATCAGATTTGATCTGATAATAGCGGACAACATATTTGGCACGCCAAATTATCCCAACGTGAGCATCCTACCGAAGCATTACAACCAAGCCCATAGAGGGAATGCTCCGATAATTGTGTACTTAAGAGAAAAAACTAAGCTTCATGCACACTTATGCCCATTTTCAGTTGCCGCAACTTGGACTGGCTAAACCCTAGACGCTAAACACTGTCGAACACCTGAAATCGTACACCAAGAACAAGAATAGAATTTAATGAAACCAAATGATTCATGACAGCTCGTGAAAAAATATTGGGTAGGATTTGATACTGGATACATCGGAAGTTTCGCAGGGGATTATCCTAGGCCTACTTCTCTTCCTGATATTTATTAACGACCTGTTAGGCTCAGTTGGCTCACCGGCATTGATCTACGCAGACGATGCGAAGATCTGGAGGTCCATTAGAAGCGAAGAGGATTCGACTGAGCTTCAAAAGTACATTACATCAATTGAGGGATGAAGAGTGAAAAATGGTTTAAAACTTAACCAAACGAAGTGCTTCGTCATGGATTTCCTGCCTCACATGACGCAAACGACCTATACCCTCAATGGAAGTCCGCTCCCTAAGGTCTCCTCAGAGCGCGATCTTGGTTTGATAATCAAGGAAAGCCTCCACACCAGTCCAAACTATGTAGGGGATGCAGCCAAGGCAAATGCGATTCCTCACTTTATGCGAAGACAGCTTGGTGCTATCACCTCGAAATTATTTTTAACCCTGTTTAAGACGTAAGCGCGCCCACACTTGGAGGTTCACAACGTCATCGCACCCCCTCTGCTTAAAAGAGACATAAATCTCTTGGATCGAGTGTATAAACGAGCAACCAAATGGGTGATAGGGTTGAAAAATAAACCCTACGACGATAGACTCCAGCTCTTCGGATTATTTCCACTGAACTACAGGAGAATCAGATGCGATCTCATTATGGCGTACACCAAATTAAACACACCAAACCATCCCAATGTGAGCATCTTATCGATGCATCACCACCACTCCCCTCGAGGCAATCCCCGAAAGATTGCACATCAAAGAGCGAATACTCAGATTCGTGCACACTGTTTCTCATTGCGAGTCGTCGCAACTTGGAATGCTCTCCCAGCCGAGGTAGTTACAACTCCCTCAGTGGACTGCTTTAAGAAGAGACTTGATAATCACGTACTCACATGCGGACTATCATCTCCCTCTTGGACAAGCTGTGCCTGATGCATATCTTGAGACCTGCTAGTTGTTACCATTGCCATCTCCTCAGATCACTCAATTAATCTATCTCGCCTATTATCTCTCTCTCCCTTGCTTACACTTCGATCCTCTGTCGCAATCCTCACTACCAATTAACAAACTAAATTCATCTATATATTACTCAGTTCTGAAATTTTATTTATTTTGTCATTATAATTTTATCCTTATAACCCTTATTACTCCCCACATTGCAACTAACTGATCTCCGGTCTGGTAATTTGACGGCTACTGGTATCCAAGAGCCCTACTGCCCTGAAACAAATGTTTTCATTCAAATCCCAAGACATACAAACTCAAAACCAAATGCCAACTGACTAGAATTAGACAGTCGAGTGGCTAGACCTCCATCCATTGAACATTACCGAACACCTGGAATCGTACCGAAAGAACAAGAATCGAGCGCGAAGAAATCAAATTGGTTTACACTAGCTCGTGAAAAAATATTGGATATTGGCTTAGCGCCGACAAAGCGCACTTTTCAAACTTTTCGTAAGTTATCGAGGTTGTGGTTTTTCTGACTAAAAGTAGTTGTGGTTTTTACATTTTATTCATCACCCCTGCTCCGAGTACTAAAGCATTTCTTTGCAATCTGAACATGTATGTTCATAGACGGGATGAACTGTATATATATATTTGAGTTTTAGGTTTCTTTGGACCCCAACGTTTGAAGTCATAAGAAAATTTCATAAATTCACCAAATCTCTTCCTTTTTTATCACAGTTCCAAGCATCAGCAAATATTGCACATACTGAGAATTGCTGGGATGGAATTCGTTAAAATAGTCCAAATCACGATTTTAGCGACGTTTTCATCCGGAAACACTGCAGCTACACTGCTGAAGAGCACTCCAACGAGAACTTAGAAAGAGGATTTACACTGACATTTACCTCTCAGTGAAGTTAAGGTTATAACCCATTAGAACTAATGAAGAGTAACAGACCTAAAATAGTTAATTGTAAAAGGTATTTTAGATGTTATCTAATATTAAGTCCGAAGGCTAAAGCTAATTTACCATATGCCATTTCATTTCCAACCATGCTAAATTTTAAAAGTAGATCAAGGTCCTCTGGTGATATTAAAACCAAAACATTCTCAATGAACGGACTATCCACGATCTTAGATTTTATAACCTCCCAATTTCCGTTTGGAACTTTGAAAAAACAGGCTGTTTATATCACATGGATTTTCATATCAGGTGATAAATGTGTTCATTAAATACTCATCGTTTGACGAGTTTTAAGCTAGCCGTGCCACTGTTCGTAACTATGTTGTTTACAATCTTTAGATAGGATAATAGCTCGTCTACATTGGTTTACTTGTCATTGAAAGATATATTTCAGGGTACATCAATCGATGGAAGTCTGTTTACTGATCAGCTTACATATCGCTGATAAGGTTTATTCCTCGATCGACTTCTCTTTCTAACCTAATTTTAAGTATGGGTGTTGGAGATTTTTACAAACGCTCATGAACAATTTCTCTACTCTCGTAAGTATTTGATAGTTACTATTTCCAGCCTATTTGCACAAAGAGGTTCTACCTTCCGATATTTCTTGATGCGAAAATCCGCACTAGATTGTTAGTTAGTAGCCATTCGATATAAATTTTTCTTAAATGGAGAGATATAATTGTTTTAATATTACTGTATGTTTTATCTCAGTATTGTGTTTCTATACAAAAAAGTTATTATATCAAAATGACCTGTAGTTTTAGATAACAATTTATCTCCGTCACTTTTATTTCTCGTTCATGTGGTAATAGTTATTTTAAGATATGCTTCGGATAAAGAGAATATTATTTGGTGATAAAAATTCAATCACGATTGTATGGGAAATCTGTCATTATATGTGTATGGTTTATTTTTAATGTGATTAGTAAAATGAATCATTTCTCAATTCCTGTTCCAATTTTTCTTCCACTTTAGAGCTTTCATCCGTTCGGTTATTATCGTCAAAACTAAACAAAATCATTACAATGGGTGTAGAAACTGCTCCGTATACTGTTTGTAATACTTGGCCTGAAGAAGTTAGTCTCCGTTTGCCATTTTTAAATTCTTAGAATGTTGAACTACGTGAATATGACTCTCTACCGTGGGTTTGTACTTCAAGTACCGGAAGTTCAATGGATGCAGCAATTAATGAGTGCTTTGGTAAATTATTTAATTATATTGGTGGGGAAAATGAGCGAAGTTTGTGACTTTTTTAATTGAATGTCTCGTTCAGAGGTTAAAGTAGAGATGACCGCTCCAGTTACTATTGAAAGCAAGCCAAATGGTGATTCTGCTGCGGAAAGATGTTTTACAATGGGTTTTTACATTCCTGCACTGAACCAATCAGATCCATCTCCTCCAACAGGAGATGGGGTATTTATAGAAACCAGACCAGCAATGAAAGTCTACTGTCGGTGAGACATTTTTTCATAGTTTCTTTGATGTAACTAGTTTTGCACTATTTATTTACTATTCATGTGTACTTATTCAACTAACTATTACATTTTTAAAAAACTAATACTCAAACGTGGTCATTACCGCAATCGTGTCATACTGTCCTGATTCATCTTTTCACCATTTGCATTAGTCACTAGATAATGGATATCATCTTAGGCTAGACAGTTTTTAGTGTAAAATGCCATTTGATGCTGCCTAATCCTGTGCAGATAGACCTTTGATAACTTCTGATAGCTTCTGAAGGTCATTAGATTAAAAAAGAAAGAACCCTACAGAATATATTCTAGGCTACTATTCCATAACGAAGTCTCATATGATAGACATCGGGCAAACATTTTTGCAAAAAAATTTCGAATACAGTTTGATCCATCGAAATTAGCTACACAATAAATGCTGAGTATTGTAATAAGCGACTTTATTAATTTCTAGAGTTTATTTTGACACTCTACTTTTCTATGTAATCACTACATCTACATACCGTTCGTGAAATAGTAAAATATACGGTAATTTAATAAACCACTCATGATTTACACATTCAGTTTTGGATCGATATTTTTAAATTGCTGGACATCAATAAGAGTAGCCAGACTTAAATATTTGTCCAAATGACTACTAGTTATATATATAAATCATACTTCCCCAGACTGATGTCATGATAAACATTGTTACCCTTTGAAATTCTGTCATGTTTTTGAGAGATAAAATGAGCTTTTTGCCTTCATCTGTGTCTAAAGTTCCTTGACCAGTTTACAACAACGTGACGCGAATTTGAGCACCGAAGAGATAAGAACAAAAATGATGTCTAATAAATTGAGATAGTAAGGTGCGTTAGAAAAAAATGCAAGAGTTCATAGAGGAATTGACATCGGGAAATTCTCATTTTTCGTAATCCATCTACTTTTTTTTCAGTTGGTTAAAAATGAATTAATAAATAATATGTATAGAATTACACTTTCAATAAGAATGGAATTATTGAAATTCTGTTGGGTTCACAAACTTTACTGCCAGCCTAAGTTAAACGAATAGTTATATTATATGTTGATTTTATCCGTCAGTCCACCAAGTTTATTCTTTTCTTAATTCTTTTGTTCATCGTTGTTGATGTGTATTGTCGTGCTTTCAAAATAAGACCATCATGATTTAACAGTACTATCTTTTGATTCTAACTCCTTATATCTTTGACATTGTGCACATTTATAGCATAAAATATCTCGTATCCTTTAGAATGACTAAATTGTTTTCATAATGAAGCAAACGTTGAACTTCATTGACAGAAAAAAACACAACTGCAACCTCTTTCAACTCAAAACAATGAAATATTTGATCAGTTTTGACATATTTGTATCCTGTGTAGATTGTTTTGATATTCATATTATGATACAAATGTATACAAAGTATGAACAAGAGAATAATCCATGTCATTATAAACTAAGTTAAAATTCATATGTTTTGCGCAAGTGTATAATAAATGAACTGAATATTTAAGTGGATATAATGCGTTTGTGTCTAGAACGATTGGTATCGAGCTCAAATTTTGGAGTAGATATCAAATCTGAGGTGCCAAGTATATCCAACTGACTTGTCCCAAGCAAGACCAAACGTATATCATGGATTGCATTGCTAGTGAAATTTCATCTACCCAATGAAATATTAGGTTTGTAATAGGGATTTCAGGAGATTGTGTTACTTTCCTACTTGAAATCATGAACTGATCTTAGCTAGACCATCTTTAGAAACCTGAAAGCAGTGAGTGGGTGGGACTCATAAGCATTGCTCATTCACGACCCTTGCAAGTGAGAATCTCTCTCGCCGGCAACCTTGGATATCTCACGCAAACATTTAAGTTCGAGACCATCGAGTCGACATCCTGTGGTTTTAATGTCTGATTCCAATCAATCAATCAATCAATGATATTGCACAACCTTCCTTCATTGTTTTGTTTTATTTCATTTTTTCTCCGTTTTATATAAAAGTATCTACCCAGGTTTTTCAGATGATGACGAACTAGAGAAGAATGCGCGTGAACTTGGTGAAAGTCTCGATCGTCTTGGTTTAAAATATACATCAGATCCTTTCTATTTCGCTGGATATGATCCCATATTCAAGGTTGACGATCGTCGAAATGAAATATGGTTTAAAGCTCAATGAAATAATATCAATGTGTGTTTACTACATGTGAAAACTCCTTCTTTTTATTATCTGTAATAATTAAAAGTACATTCTATCACATTTCTGTACGGTTTTTTTAGAGGGTAGCAGAGGTACTTATTTTGTTAAACATGACTTTTTGATTATTTATATATGATTGGTTTATTCTGTGACCAGATAACTTCATGTATTGTTTTGATTTCTTCACTGATCTACATCACTTTCTTTTTAAGTATACTTATTTCATTGTAGTCGTATATACATGAGACTTTATCGAACTGTTATTCTTAGATGAATATTTTAGCTATAATCATGTATTCTTAGCTTTATTTTCAACTGATTTTTGCAGTTCTGTAATCTCAGGTAATTCTTGATATTATTTACTTACATTTTTCCTGGGCAATTTAAATTGTTATGTGTGTTGTGTTGTGTTGTTCAACAATGAAATACTTAATTTCTATAATATATAATCAGTCTTAACTAGTTGATACTTGTATTTAAATGAATGTAGATGAAAAAGGAAGTGAGCAAGTGTAGTTAGGTAACTTTGAGATTTATTTGTTGTGATTTGTGATGTAATTTGTCAAAATATGACTTTAATAAAAGTGATTTCGTTGATAAAAAAAGGTACGCATCCTCTGAAGAACTGGAGATATTCTTGTTTTACTAGTACCGAAAGTGATTTCCAAACATCGGTTGGGTATGTTGGGACCACTGAGTGAGTAATGCTGAGATGAATAAAGCAAGTAGACTGATAAGGTAGTAAATTTTCATCGACTAAACCTGTTAGAACATGCATTAAGCATACCCGGCGACTCCTTATCTTCAGAGTAGACGTTGTCTGTTGTAGGTATATGCTGGAAAAAAGCTAGAGACAGCTAAACCAATGTGTGATACCAGTTCATTAATTCGTTAGCAGTCGGACTGACCTACGTAGACGGGAGTAGATTACCTCCTTGCAGTCAGCGTAATTATCGTAACCCATGCTGAGAGATGTCAGGACTTGTCAACTGGATGTTCCATAGCTCAGAGTTTATATTTACTCCAAGACTGGAAACCAGTACCTTACTTTTTTTCAAGCCACCGCATTATACACCTAGGTAGTGAATTCACAGAGCCACTCACTTGTACAATGCGGTGAAGTTTAATTCATTTATGTTAGTTATTTGGATCTTCCTACTGATGTATACGAGTTAAAATTGATCAGTCTCTTTGGCATAGCTAAGTGGATAAAGCGATGATATTTGAATCTCAGAATGAATATCAACTCTGAGATGAAGGTATATCAAGCTGACAAATCTCAAATAGAACGAAAAGCTCGTCCTGGATTACATTGCTGGCCACTATCCACTCCTGTTCTTAGTGTTTGCAACCTGAAGGCAATATAGAGATAACTCGCACAAGATACACATGTGAAAAAGACTGATGAATTGCAGTCTTAAACATCAATGTGATGATTCAAAAAGCCAATTCAAATGAAGCAGGCTACTTAGCTGACATAAAATTCAATGAATACTTTATTTATTGTCATGCCTTAGCTTATGTATACATTTTTGTGAAGGATTTAGTCGATTTCATCTCATATTCCCAGGGCTACTACCCCTAACTCAGATCCCATATGGTCGAAAAATGAAAATATCGGAAATGCGAAAAAATCATTACCCGACATGAAACGAAGGGTAATAGAAGTGTTTGGCCATATTTGCGCTAAGCTGAGCTGTCACTTCTACTATCCTATGCCATATATGTGTACTTTATATGCTGTACTGCTATAGAGAGATGAAGGTCTCCTATGAGACCAGAGGTTTGCTGTGGACATTGTGGATGGCTTGGCGTTGCTTTGGCAAGTATTGCTCACAGTCCATATACAAAATTGGTTAGCAGGGCAACCAATTTTATTGATATAGGTGGTTGTTTTGCAACATTCTTGAAGACCATTGTCTTTGGGGTGCCGTACTGCATATCACCTTTGCTAATAATAATGAGTTTGACAGTCATGTAAGCGGGATGGGTCAAAGTGGCCTGTTTATGCGGCGCATGTTGATTGACGCGATCATGGATCCGAAATAATCATTATATATGTTGTGCTAGTGTATATATAAATGATGTGAATGGTCCAACAGGGTATTAGGTACCTGTGTGTTTGCACCACAGGATGAAGCCGAACAGTTCATGTAGAAATGGTAACACGTGAGCAGTCTCCTTAGTTCTCCTAAAAACCACTGTAAAATTGCCCTTGACAATACAGGGTAAATTTATATAATAAAAGTCATCTCATATTCCCACACAGAACAATAGCCAGCATAAGGAGAAAGTATAAAACCTAGTGTTAATAAGACATCAGTTCATAAACTTATTGACTGAACTCAATTGGAATAAGTAATCTTCCTTGATTAATAAGATCTGTGTGACTGTTGAAATCTGTAGTTATAAATTTCTCGAAACCGGTCATTATGGTATGGATACAGTTATCCGTCAATCATTCTTCTTTAATTTTAATCGTAACATTCAGTATACATTGCTTTTATCTTTTGATTTTTTAAATTGTGTTATGTATGTTTCGATTTTTTACTAACGTTGATATATAACATTATACTTGAACTACTATACTTTGAAGGCGCGGATCGGTAAAGCAAGGGCTGCATTTCTACAATTGAAAAATATCTGGAACTCCAAACAAATATCAATCAACACCAAAATAAGGATTTTCAATACAAATGTCAAGACAGTTCTACTGTATGGAGCGGAAACATGGAGAACTACCAAAGTCATCATTCAGAAGATACAATTATTCATTTACAACTGTCTACGCAAAGTACTTCGGATTCGTTGGCCAGACACCATCAGCAACAACGAACTGTGGGAGAGAACAAACCAGATTCCAGTGGCGGAGGAAATCAGGAAGAAGCGGTGGAAGTGGATAGGACAAACACTGCGAAAAGCACCGAACAGTGTCACAAGACAAGCCCTCACATAGAAGCCTCAAGGTAAAAGGAAAAGAGGAAGACCAAGAAAAACATTACGCCGAGAACTAGAGAGACATGAGAAGAATGAACAGAAACTGTAAAAAACTACTAAGGGAAGCCCAAGACAGAGTTGGTTGGATAAAATTGGTGGGCGGCCTATGCTCCATTGGGGATAACAGGCGTAAGTATGTAAGTACTAGGTATTATACTTTGAGATGTTGGAGAAAACTTGTAGCTCAGGTGAATGAGTGATTGTGGTGAAGCTTCATTCTCTGAGCTGGATGCTGTGTTTGGTTCTGGAGCTTTCATCATTTTTATTCTTCTGCTGAACAATATCGTCAGCACAAATTTCAGATAGAAGAAGTGAAATATTCGAATTTCTTCACGTATGACCAGTAGCTTGTTCTATTCACCTCGATCTTGATTGGTAGTTATGGACCTGAAACCTATCGTTATTTGCACACTTATTTTGAATAAACTCCTCTTTTTGATCTTTTTCTTAATCCTCTGTTTACCTATGATTTTTTCTGATTGGTTGATAAATTAAGTTGAATACTTCAGAAGAACAATAATGAAAACTCCACTACTATCCTTTTCATGAATCATTCAATCATGTTACTGTTTAGGATTATCGTTATTATTTTTTTATATTGTACTATTATAGTCTAACGATTAAGTACATTTTTTATTTATTGTTAAGTTTACTGAAAATTTTAATTTCGAATGAATAAGCATTTCAAAAAAAGCATTCATTCTTCATACTAAAAATTTATAAAGTTCATTTGAAGTTGAATGCTGTTTCTCTTGTAGTGGAACACTTCTACGAAGAAAACGCAATGGATAAAAAAAGGAAACATTTATTATTGTACTCCTTTTGTTTAACTGTACTCAAAAAAAACACTTACTTACTTGCGACTTTCTGTTTTGCATTGCTGCCATCAATTATCACATGCTGCTCGTTATGTCACCGACTTTCTCCTTCGCAGTGTCTGTCATTAAAAGGTGTACCAATGAAGTATATTAACCTTATACAAGCTCTCTACTCGAACACTGCAGGTCGAGTAAGACCTTATGGAGAACTGTCACCGGAGTTCTTCACTTCAAGTGGGATGTCCGATTTCTCCATTCTTGTTTAATTTGGTCATAGACATGCTCCTCGATGGAACCTTATCCTCGTGTGAATTTTCAGGAGTGGACTTTCTACCAGGAAAATCGCTTGTTGGCTTAGAATATGCCGATGACAATGTCCTACTTAGTTAAGACGCTGACAAAGTGCAGAGTTTTCTGACCACCCTAAGCAACAGTGCAAGCATGTTCAGGATGCGGTTCTCATCCTCGAAATGCAAAATGTTGCTTCAAGATTGGGTTGCATCGGCACCTGAATTAGAGATAGGTAGTAAAGTAGTCAAACTGCAGAACGCTTCATGTATCTTGGGAGTCTCATCAGCGCGGATGGCCTGGTGACTGACGAAATCTCAGCTCGGATACAGAAGGCTCAACTGTCTTTTGCCAACCTTCATCACCTATGTTGCAGGTGAGACATCTGCTTGCTAACCAAAGGACGAGTGTGTTGTGTAGCAGTTCGCTCCGTCATACTATACGGATGCGAAACATGGCCGTTAAGAGTAGAGGACTTTCGCAGGTTACTAGTCTTCGATCATCGGTGTCTGCGAAGTATTGCTCGTGTATCATGGGACAACCGTATAAGATATGCTTTCGTTAGGAAACGAGTTCCAGCTAAGGATGGCAGATCAATAGATGAAGCATTGAAACTTCATTAGTTGAGGTGGTTGGGACATGTGTTACCTATGCCTAGCCACCGACTGCCTCGACGAGCTATTTTTTGTGGTGTAGGAGTAGGTTGGAAGAAAGATAGGGACAGCCAAACCAAAACATGGCAGAAATCCATGAAGTCACTGACAAGTGGACTGAGTCATGTTGGTAGATGTAGGCTATCTGGTTGGGGTCCGCGAGACGAAAATCACCGATGGCTAGAGACCTTGAACGACATGGCCCAGAATCGTTTGCAATGGCGTAGGTGCATCCACTCTTTGTGTTCTCTCTAATTCTAACATTCTCCATTACCGCTAATACTTTTACTATCGCTAATGAGTCCCATAACAGGACGAAACGGTCGTCCAGTGCTT